ATGTGTTACTGTTCGCAAATAATCCAGTTGGCTGTGTCTGTCCATGCCTGACGCCGCTAAATTCTTAAACCCGGAGTTGAATCTCGGCTGGCAGTGCCTTTGCGCGTGGTTTTTAAATATTTTGTCCAGCTGCTTTTTTTATAACAAAATTTTTCAGTTGGCCAGAGAACGATGAATATTTCAGTGTATGAAAATTTGGTTTGCGCTGTCACTAATTAGATGGACCAGGTGGTGTCAATGTATTTTAATGCATTGTAGAATAGTCATAGGCGCTTTTCATAAAGTGAAAAATGTTTGCCTCAGGTCATGAGCGAGTAACTTTGAGGACTTCTCTCTCCTGTCACTGCCATGCCGCCCATACTTCCAGGTACACTGTTGCTACTGCACGTACGTTACAGATTTTTTACATGAAAATTAAGTCAAAGCAGTGACATCAGGATCATGTAAGGGTAAGGAGGCAATTTTTATGGTATTCAATGCCATGTCCCATTTGACAACACGAGGTGTAGAACCAATGTAAATAAATTTCAGTTTTCTGAAAAATTTTGAGATGATGCATCATTCAAGCCGCGTTATCTCGTCTTATTCCAATGAAGTTTAAAACTTCTCCATGTGTGAAACTGTAAAGACAGAAATTTAATTTTTCCACCCAGTCCATGATCCACGACACAAAAAATGACTTCTTCATTTACGCTCTACAGCTCCTTGACTTAGTTACATGACGTTAAAATGTTTGTGATAGAAATTACTAACGAAGAACAGAACCAAGATATAACAAAACAAATGTTTTGTAGGACGATCGAAGTACAACTATGAGTATCAGCTTTCTGCGCTCACAGTATCAAACCTAACCCGGTGATAAATTCTTGACTGTCGCCTGCCGGCTATCTGGTTACCTTCGGCCGCCCAGGTTCCGCAGGTTCATCTAATCCTCAACCACATCTTCACCTTCAAGAATAATCTTGAATGAGAATGGCTGAAAGACGTATCCTGCCCCTTCATAAAACTTGCTCATGAACTCGACCCTGCAAATTACAACCGTCGTTAATTTCTCATTCATCTTTGCACCACAATTAGTATTCATTTTTTAAAAATTTTGAGACTATAAAATCACTTCTTTTAAAACTAATGGGGGAAAAAGTGGAAATTTGCTCTTTTACCTAATAGTATGAGAAATATAAAAGACAATTCATGATTTCATTCTCACAAAAACTGAAATTTGCTTTAACCTGGCTTTGTGCACAGGAGGATTAACATAAATTTGAAATGCCATCAGATAAATGTAAAAACAATTTACGTGCATGACCGAATATACCGGCACGGTACGTTTTTGGTGATTTTTATGCAATTGCACTGAAATCTAAAGTCTAAATAACATGTCAAGGCATTAAAAAGAGCGCTTCCTGCCGTCCGATCGCCACATCGCACTGGAAGTCTGCAAAGACGCACATGCAGCGTGTGTATGGAGGACATACGATGCAGAAGGAAAGTTATCAGCGGTTCATCAAAATATTCTGGGTGTACACAAAGACTCGGAATCAGAAGCGAGCAAACGGAGCGGAGAAAAACTCCAAAAACAAGGTACGGCAATACCGATAATGACTTCAGCTAATCAGGTAGCATCTTCTTATTGCTATGCAGCACAGCAGATGATATTAACCTGAATCCTAACTTACGTCGATATATGAATAATCTAACCTGTGCCTGATGACGAAAGCTGGTATATTCCCCAAAAGATGAATAATCTAACCTGTGCCTGATGACATAATGACAGATGACGAGAGCTGGTATATTCCCCAAAAGTTTACGAACCTTTGGTGCAAAAGATATTAACAGCAACTACGGTTATTTTGAGGTGACGTTTAATGTGTGTAAGAAACTAAGGGAAGGTTAGGTTAGATCACACTGTCGAAGCAAACTTTTCTCTTGGCATTATCCATCGTCCAAGACTATATAAAATCTATCGATTGGGCCCGACAGAGTAGGTTTTACCTGAAGATGTAGATGGACTCCCATCTGTGAAACGTCGCGGTTCTATCGATTTCATTTAGTCTTCGACGATGGATAATGCCCAGAAAAAAGTTTGCTTCAACAGTGCACCATCATCAAAAACTTTCAAAATTGATTCAGATGACACTGTTTCAACCGCAGGATCATTTTCTCTTATTCTCTGTAGTTTCTTTCAAAGTTTGCTTCAACAGTGCACCATCATAAAAAACTTTCAAAATTGATTTAGACGACACTGTTTCAACCGCAGGATCCTTTTCTCTTATTCTCTGTAGATTCTTTGGAGCCCCATCATAAAATGTCACGTCACTGCAGGCACAGGAAACTGTATTCAGACTGTACATACCAATGCAGTCGAAGCGTGTGAAGGAAGGCAGACAAACCCTCCATCATGACCAAGATTGCCAATGTAAGCCCTGCCCACGCAGCAAACAAAACATACAGAAGAATACTGCCCACCACATAAGACTGAGCATCGCCGTCTGCGGATCCAGTGAGTCCGATGCTCAAGACCATGGTCCATAACACTTCTGATAACTCTGTAAAGCGAGATGAAAATGTTACAGAAAATGCAGCAAGGGGCATAGTGATCGCACGCATCAAAGCGAGTTCTCTTCTATGTATGCAGGGGAAGTTGAAGGGATTTAATCTGCGTCACAAACATTTACAGCGGGTCTGAACAAAAAGTACCGAGAGACCAAGTTCACATCTCAGATAAATAACACCATTCCAGGGTGTCACTGCACGTTTACCACTCTTAATGTTTCGGTCATTCACGCCCAGCAACTGCGTTTCTGCCTGGGGGTACAGAGTAATAAACGCACTTTAAATTTTGAAGAAGACCGGAAAGTTTGTAATCAATACGTTAAAAAAACTGATTCAAATAGCATTTGGGGATGCGACAACGGGCCAAGCAAAACTTTGTGAGTGGTTATATTGTTTTAAAGTGGAACAAACATCCACTGAACATGACGAGTACCCTGGATGCCCCCGACCAGCATAAATAATAAATGAGAAAATTCAGGTGCACGATTTAGCGCAAAATAACAGAAAGGAAAGAAGAAGTATGAATTTTTGTGACTCAGACAATTTCTTTTCAGGAATGAAAGCCCCTGGGATTTGCTTTGCCTCTTAGGCAAGCCCATAGTGGTCGCCTACTTTCTGGGGGGCAGCCTCGGTGGGGTATAGCAGAAAGTCAAGACTGACAATCATGGACCCATAAGGTGTTTTAAGGCATGGGGGTCCCAAAGGACACTGTCCCAGGAGATAGCGCAGCCCTGCGGGTGGCCATCACCTCGGAGCATTCCAAGAACCGTAGAGCCCGGTGGGCAAAGACCCAGGAGAAGGCATTCATACATTACTGATAACAGCAGATATCACGTCGTAATTCTCAGATTAAATATCTGCCAGATTCCCCCCCCAAAAAAAAATTAAAACATTAACAGCACGAGGAATAAAGAAAACAAGCAGAAGTAACGTTAAATTGCTATTAAAATTCGGTTTTCAGGACATCCCCCCCGTCCTAAGTTGTAAGACGGAAAGAAATCTGACACTCCCGTCTAACTGCGCTACATAATCAGAACGGCTTCTTAGGTTAACTCTGCCAAACTTACGTGCATGTGCTAGTGAAAGGGCCCACAGCCGCAAGTACGATGCCGTGTGAGATATCGTGCTCAGAATATATTCAATGGTGTGAATTCCTTGAAGGATGAAAATCTCTCCCACTGCATTGTCCCCCTCGTTGTGTTCAGCGTGAGCAGGTGAGGGACTCGGGGTGTCAACCATTTCAGGAGTTAGTTCCAGGCCCTGATTAACATCGCCATTCTCCGACGTCTGCAAGAACACACCGCCATATAATTTCCGTCGCAAGACATTAACATTACACGTGAGCACATTAATGCGTTGTTCATTATTTACTGTTAAAAGCCCAGTAGCAAAATTTTGAGACATTACATTTCAAAATGAATTCCACATAGTAAAACACATTTTATAGACCACCTATTATTTTTCTTGTATAATCTGAAAAACAAATAACTCGGAGTACTTGCTAGAACTCTTAGCATATGGCTAAACTGAATTAATCTTTCTCTCTACATGAATGTCATTATATGTTCGTCTTTCTACCGTGAAATAGAACGCTTATTTCTGCAAGCAACAGTAATCATCGAAAAATGGAAGCACATCTCAGTGAAACACCGTGAAAGCCTCGTATCCGGGACTACAGAAGTACGTTACGTCCTTGACATGAAGAATGAGCACCGCTTGAAGACAGATTTAAATTGGGCACTCATAATTTGCCAGTGTCGGGGTAAAGTCCTAAAAGTTCAGGACATTTAAAACAAATTTTTTTTTAAATGTTCCAAAGTCGTGTCTGCTGACTTTTCCAAAAATTTATAGAAAACGTGATTCTACAACTTACTCATGAATTTAAGGCTGAAGTGATAATTTTCATTACATTATGGGTAATTTGAAATGTAGGCTGTAAGCCAGAAATTATTCATCAGTTTTGCTCTTTGACTTATGCCCCCTTGCCCTGGCACCAGCAAACTCACCCGTACCATAAACATCAAAATCTTTTTATTTTCTTTGACATAAGATTACTTCAAAGATGCAGTTTACAAATTAAGAGACTTACGTGTTCAGATTTTTTGCTACGTCCACAACAGAGGAGGTATAGAGGCTTGGCGAGAAGAAGTACCGGAATGCACAACACAGCAACAACAACAAACGCAGTTTGTATTACGTCTTGACCATCAAACATAAACTCTTGACAGCCTATTCCTGTAGGAGGAGAGCTCTTGAAGAGCATCATGTTGATGAAAAGGATGAGAACTGAAGGAGCACACGACGGCCCATATCTGATGACGTCCACTGCAAGCACAATACAACAGCTGATGATGTACGTCTTCTGGGATGTTGCGCCGTTCAGTCTCGTGGATATTGGCCTGTTTTTCAAAGGATCTCACTGCCTCCATCGTTACCCTTCACATATCAGCCAGTATCTACCAGACTACACGGTACGCTGCCCACGAAACAGTCATCTTCATACTCATCACCATGACAACCTCAAATGTCATCTAATATGACAATTACTTCTGCTTAATTATTGAAGATGGCTGTCTTCTGAGTTGTTGCGCCGTGCAGTCTGGTAGAAAGCTTATCGATATTTCAGAGGTCCATCATCACGGCT